ACAGCCCAGTCTGTCCGGGTAGTCCGTTACACAGTCATAGTCCATTTTGTTTCTGTCTGGCATAGGGCCGTACTCATTGACCTTGGCTGCGTTGAGTGTGCACTCGCCGCCAGTGTGGAAGGAGGACTTGGAAACGTCCATGTTCACAAACTCCAGGATGTCCAGCTCGCCGCCGTTCGGCCACGGCACATTCGGAGCCAAGGTGAACAAAGCAGGCCACACCCCGCAGCCGTAGGGCACATGGGAGAATTTGATCAATGTGAGGAAATACTTCCAGGCGGGCTTGGACTCCATCCTGGCAGTCATGCGCTTGTACTTGTACTTGTCACTCCTTCGTCCAGCACGGATGATGGCGTAGTTCCGGGTGGCCTCCACGACGCCTTCCTGGGCCGCGTCCTCCTCCAAGAGATACTGGGCGGAGCCGTGGTTGTGGTCTTCCCAGAGGAATTGGAACTGGTCAAAGAACCGCTCGCCCTGTGCACTCCATTTCAGCTTGTACTGAGAAGATGGAGCCGGCTCTGGCAGCCACGATGGCGGGCCTGGTGTGGGTTCAGGCGGTGCTGTTTCAGATACAGTGTGGGTTGCTGAGGAGACTGAAGTGGTGCTCGTTGTTGATGCGCAGGTGGACGAGTAGTCATCACAGCAGTTGCCGAAGTTTGAACACTGGCTGTTGCACTGGCATTTCCAGGCTGGCTTGTAGAGGTCGGTGCATCCGTAGTGCGCACACGTATGCTCAGGATGCGAGGCGCATTTCTCAGCATAGTCAGGGCAGCAGTTTCCGTACTGCGAACATGCCGAGTTGCATTGGCACGTCATCCAGTAGTGGTAATGGTGCGTGCAGCCATAGTCTGCGCATCTGCCTCCCCAAGCAGAGCCATCCTTAGCCTCAGCGAGGGCCCTGCCACGTCGCTGGAGGGCGCTCAGGGCACAGCCTTCAGCGCTGCACTCGTCATCAGCCGCTGAGGCGTCTGGAACAACTTCAGCCGTGACCCGTAGAACAAGAAAGACAAACGCCGAGGCCACAGCCATCGCTTGGAGGCTAATTTCTTAGCCCAAGACCTTATGTCTCAAGCTGGGTGCTGCCGGGCTGGCAAGGCCCTCACCAAAACTCAAACTCTGGAAAATGAAGATTGAGCCGCTGTTGCGTACTTGCACTGCTGGAGTGAACTTTCGAAGCAGAAGGCTCTGGTCTCTGTCGCACGTCCGCCAACATGTCGCAAAATCAAAAGTGCAGGCCTCATTCAAGTATTCAATGGTAGTTGGAGCTGGGACATTCTCTGCCAAACCTCCACAGGCAAGGTCTGTTGGCTCACACCCTTGTTGCAGCGCCTCGATTCTGTAGCGACTACCCTGGCCACCGGCCGAGAAGCGTCTAGAAAAAACAGACCAGGATGTGGACTCATTCCCCCCCTTCCCTTAACTCCGTTGCCCTAACCTGCCCGAAGCGCTTGAAGGAGCCGTGCCGTGCGAGTTCCATGCAGGACCTCCCCAGGACTCCTATTTTGGAATCCGACCCCCCGCAAACCCCCCCTCCTAGCCCTCCTAGCCCGGCTTTCGCTCAGCCCGGCTGCCGAGGCGGCGCGTGCAAGCGTTTACAATTACCTGTGGCTTATGTGGCGCCCCACTACTCACTCTCCCCCCACTCCCTCCCTCCCTCTTCCTCTTCCTCTTCCTTTTCCTCTTCTTCTTCTTCTTCTTCTTCTTCTTCTACGGGGCATGAGGGGCCCGAGGACCCCCCGCGCGCGCGGGCGCGCCCAGTCCACTTCTTCTTCTGCTGGGCTTGAAGGAGCCCCGTCGGAGCCCTCCGCGCACGAGCGCGCCCGAGCACGTTCTTACGGTGGGACTTTAACTTAGCTCGGGCGTCGGTGTGTTTCCTGACGTGCGTGTGTACAGTTATGGCTGGCTTTGAGGCCCTTAAGGTCTGCACTCTCAACTCCTCAACTCCAGAATTAACTCCAACTCAAAGCCAACCCGTTGCAAGTCGGCCAGAAAAAAAAAAAAACGTGCAGTGGCTATCTGATGTGGTTCACGCAGGGTCCCGCCTCTAATTACATCTGGCCCGCTTTTGGTTTCCCCACTGCAGGGTGACCTCAAACTTGGCCTCCCCCAGAGCTTGCTGGCTTCGGCGACTGACTGGTCACAGACGGTACGTGGCTAGGAGCCTCCGGCTCCTTCTTGATTTTCTCTGAACGGCTCCCCCTTCCGCAAGCACAAAGAAATCTCGCTCTCTCTCTCTCTCTCTCTCTCTCTCTCTCTTTTGATTCATTTCCTTCCTTCCTTCCTTCCCTCCTTCCCTCCTTCCTCTGCACGCAGCACCCGAAGGGGCCGCCCCAAGGGGCGTGCAAAAGCGATCCAGTCTGTGTGTGAGAACGTGCATGGCTTCGTTTGGAGTGAACACAGACACGCAATACTCTCTCTCTCTCTCTCTCTCTGAAAGACTTTCTCTTGCTTCCTTCCAGCGCACGTGACCACCCGAGGGGGCCGCCCCAAGGAGAATGCTCCACAGAGTTCGATGGTGTGTGAACTGGTGCTGGGACGAGTGGGGCTCCCGACCAACCTGACACTCTCTTCTGTTTTCCTCTCTCTTCTTCTTCTTCTACCGGGCTTAGGGGGCAAGCCCCCCGCGCGTCACCATGCCCCCCCCCCCTCTCTCTCTCGCTCTCTCTCTCTCTCTCTCTCTCTCTCTCCTCTCTCTCTCTCTCTCTCTCTCTCCCCCACGCATGACCCCCCCGAAGGGAGGCCGCCCCCAGGGGCGCGTGCTCTCTCTCTCTCTCTCTCTCTCTCTCTCTCTCTCTCTCTCTTTGCGGGAGGGATCGTCAAAGCCCATGGCAAACAACAAATGCATTGCATGGACCACTGCTGTCGGTGCAGCAATTGTTGGGCTGTTGCCTTCGGAGCTCCCTGCCTTTATGTGCATCCTCCGCATCGACAACCGTCCGAACCTTCAAGAGCATGGCACAGCATGATGTTCTCGGACTTTGTGACAGCGGGCAGTGATCCTATGAGGACGATCTATTTGAAGCAGCTGGCGTGCCTCTTTTCTGGGCATGGAGCAACAACCCCTTTCCTTCCCGACACCCACAACCCCGAAATGGCATTCTGTGCACAACCCGCAAAGCGCCGACCGTTTAGCGTTGAGGCCCGTGCATAGTAGGCACATATTCCGCACTGCGGAGGCCGCTTCAGAAACTCCTGAAGGATATACCTGTCAGGCAGGGTTCCAGCCAGGGTTCAGGGGATGTCGTTGCTTCGACACTGAGTCTCAAAGCAGGTTGTACTGTATGCTGTACCCGCGAGTTTCTCAAGCAGCGCTGTAAACTCGATTCTGGTGCCTGCAGCTTCAACACAAAAAAGAGTCCTCCAAGTACTTGGGCGGCCCTTCCAGATTTGCTTGGCACTTGGTAAATGGGATCCCCTTATCGGTGACTTCCATGGCACACAAACTCACTTAAGCTTACTGAGTAACTTTCGATAGTTGTAAGGTCATGACAATAGTTGCCACATTAGTTACAAAAAACAGTACTAGTATCAACAGCTTGCAAACAAGACGATCTTGCGTTGTTGAGTTCGATTAGAGCCAGGCAGCTCGTCGTTGAGCTTCGACTTGTGCTTTCGCTTCAGGGTGCCATCCACGGACGTGAAGTACCAAACAGACCTGACAGATAGGCCCCATACCAGCAACGGCGGCTTAGGGTTTGTTGGGGCGCTAGTAATTTCGAGGCTGGCGAAGTCCCGGCACAGTTCTGGGCTCTGGGTCCTGGGGCGGGTGAGTATGGCTGGCACTGGGCTTTTTCCAGATGCACCGAGCTGTCGTGATTCATGATTCATGAACTCCTCCAACGCCGGCGTTGCTGATCCACAAGAATAGTCCTGCGTGACTGAGATCAGTACGGATAGTTGAACTTGAAGACAATGGTGTCAGGTATTCCTTGGCCAGCATGCAGTGCGGCATTGCAGCTCGCAGGCACATACACCTTACAAAGCGAAGGGTGCAACAAACACCGAACCATTCCGAACTGCTACGAGCACATCGGGATCTCGGCTACGAGTATGTTGTATGCGACGTGAGACTGGGACAGGGCACGAAGTGCCACCGACTGATCGCTGTGAAGATCTCTCTTCCACAAGAGTTCAAACCTCGGTGAGTGCAGGCACTGCAAGCAGGGATACTGTGGGTAGCTGTGGGTTCTATGAAATCTGTGGATGGGAACCAGCGGTTCAAGGCCTGCTCAACTTGCAGTTTAACATGCCAAGACGTTGCAGCCAACACCTGGCAATTTGCGTTGCAACACTTGTTTTTGGCTTGAAAGGGGGTTTTTAATGGTTTGAAATTGGGTCTTGGGTTTGGTTTACGGCCAGGCGACAGCTGCCGGTTCACACCGTCACCCTCCAGTCCCAACCTTGTCAGCCGCACCGTCGCCTGCGGTTTAGAGTCCTAGGGTTCAGGGGTTCGTGGCAGGTTGGACGTCAGGGTTACGGTACTAGGGTTCGTTGGGTGCAGGGTTTCTAGAATCAAGAGCAAAGAAGAACCACGCAAAGCCACAGACTGCTGGACTGTTTCTCCACTCCTTTACTTGTGTCTGAAGCTTCCTGAAGCCGTTACACCCAAACCTCTTAGCGCAGGCCCAATCCTCAGTAAAGCAAACCTCTCATCTTTGTCCTCCAGGGGTCATACGTGCATGTTGTACGAGTTTACCCAGTGGGGGCCCAGCACCTCCTCCGACGCCGGCATGGGGCGTGAAGTCCCGCAGCCCAACGCTGAGAGCCGCAGAAAAGCATCGGAGCAATGCACTCGCAAGGACTTGACAAAGGACCACCCTCCATCTTTTGTGGTGGGTAGTTGGACCCGAGCAGTAGCAAAGCAGCACCATATCCTCTTACAATGATTCGGGCGAACAACCCACATCACACAACGTCACCGCGCTCTCTGACCACCCCCGCCCCCCCCCCCCCACCCACAAAAACAAAAAAAACGCGAACTCCCTTGGCATGGCCCGGTCTTGTCAGTGTCCAGCCACTTCCATCCACCTGGGGCTCGACTGGCCTTGCCAGACAAAGTGCTTGCTGTGGCATCTGAGGGCTTCGAGCTAAAGCCCTTCCTAACAGTCCTTAATAGGGAATACAAAAAGGGGTACTACAATCCTTGTTAAGCACTGTTGGTGCACGTGGGAACATCCCAAGCCCTTCCGGTTTAGATAGGTGAAGCACGTACATTCTTGTAACTTGTAGCTCAGGCAGGATCGGATGCTACTAGGCCCGGTAGGCATGGTCTGCACCATTCTTTTGCCTCTTGTCCCGCATGTACGGTGTGAGGATCAATCATGACAAGCTAATTTTCAGTTCGGATGGGTCATGTGGCTTCGAGTTGTTCCGAAACTCAAAAACAAAAACTCGCTCTGAAATATCTGCCCCAAGGTCTGAGGGCTATTGCAAGTTGCTGGTTTGCTACCCAACATTAAGGTGGCTGTCAACCCTGATCCAGTCTCCATGGTGAAGCCCCTGAATCTGTCTGACAGGTGGTCAGGCTTCACTCCCCCGCCTGCTGCACCGCCTTCCGCAGCTGGCGCAGGTACCTCCAGACTTTGGCGCCGTGGGCGGCGAGTTTAGCGGGGCTTATAGGTTCCTCAGTCAGGCAGTTCGCTTGCTTTGTTGGGATCTTGCTCTCTCTCGCTCTCTCTCTCTCTCTCTCTCTCTCTCTCTCTCCCTCTCGACTGTCCATCCCTCCACCCATGTCTTTGGGTTCTGCTGCCATGTGCTGCTGCTCATGTGCCCAGAAACTCGGATGCCTTGCTGCAGTAGCACTGCCACAGCGCAGTTCGGCCTCTGTCGCGCTGCGTACGCGGCCCTGGCTGTTTCTCACAAGCTCAAAGCGTTACTTCGGCGACGCCAGCAGCGACCCTTCGGGGGTTCAGGAAGGTAAGAGTGCAGGGGGATGCTGGTCTCCCAGGTAGCGTGCCGGCGTGGCAATCTCAGCACCAAGCTCCTCCCGGGATTGAGCCAAAAACCCTTTTGCTGAGGCTACCGTTTGGCCGGACTCTAGTTGACGGATTGTGGATCTTGTGCACAGCCTGTAAGGGCATAAGAGCAGCTTATGAGCCTTATCAAGAGGCTTCCTGCGCCAGAGACCCGAGACGCAGCGCTAGGGGCTTGGCACGTCGGGGCCTCGACTGAGAACGAAAGGTGGCCAAGCAAATTGTAAGGTTTCTGCTGAGTGGGGTTCAGTAGGGTCCAGCGGTGTCCCGTCAGAGGTGACAAAACAAAAAAGCACCAGCAACGATGTGCTAAGAGCAGTGAGCATGCTGGGATTTAGAGACCCTCATCTATAGATCCTTCGCGAGTGCGAAGCGACGAGCGTCCAATGCTGTGATCATGGGTTGTGTTTTGAGATTGGTTGCAAAAAGCGGTGAATGCAGTGAGTGAGTGAAGCACACAAGCCAATAACATGAATAACATGAATCACGTGATAATGTCACATCCTTTGATTCTCGGTGGCCAGCTGCATCCTGTGAGTCGTTCATATGAAGGCTTCAATCTCTACTAATGCTGCCCAGGCATCACCAATATGCTAAAGACTTCCTTTGAACCTTTCATACATCTTCAAACCACTGAGAAGACCCTAACTCTAAAGGCTTCCTTGTCTGCCAGATCGACCGTTAAGAGCCCACTTGGTGAGTCTGTGCCCAGAGGGAATTGGAAGAATGAAGTGAGGAAATGGGAATGTTAAGCCAGGGTTTGAGCGAACTCTCCTTCCGGTGGAATCTTCTCCCTATTCTACCATGATCACTCAGGCCCTGGATGCTGCATTTGTATACTGTTTCTTTGATGAAAGGTGTGCAGTGCAAGCGAGCAAGGTGATCGTGGCTTTGTAAAGCCTGAACCAGCTCAAGAAGTGTAAGGTGACAAGTAATGAAGACGCGAGGCACGAAGGGCGGGATAGGTTCTGGGGCCGCAGCGCAGTTGCTCAGGATCCAATCTGATGGCGCATCTGGGGATGACCGCTAACTTTATTGCAAAAGGAGCCTATACTAAGCCAACCAAGGGCGATGTTGGGGCGTAACACCGCCAGAGTGTGGCGGGGGGTGGCCCGATTATAAATTAGGCCTACTCCTATGCTTGGGCTCCCAGCGTCTCCCAGAAGCTCGTGGCATCCAAGAAGGCGTCCAGCTCCACCCCCACCTAATCCGACAGACGTGCTATAACTTGGGATGATCCCCCTTATGCTAACAGTCCTGAATAGGGAGTATAATCGGGGGACTACAATCCCTCTTCAGGACTGTTAGTACAAGAAGGAGCATCCCAAGTTATAACGCTACCATGTAAACTTCGCGACATGTCGTGGTGATTTCGGGCTCATTAGTCCGTGGGCCTGAGTCTGCTCACGACAATGATGGGTAGAGCATCCTGAAGAGAAACAAAAGGTAATGGACAGTCTGACAGCACAAAAACATGCTGAATAGGAGGCTCCACTCACAGGCGCCAAAAGGAAGAATCACCATCCCGGCCACATCTGCAATACCGAAATTCTGGGACTATCGGAAGCACCCTAAATGGGAGGGGAGAGGGGCCCAAAACTTAGATTAACCATCAAGTCTTTGAATTATGGGGTGCCTGGAATTGAACGAGAACTGACAGACCAGCGCCTCGTGGGCGCCTGCCTCGACCTGACAAGATGGTTCGGCGGCTTCGTGGTGTGTATTCAGCTTACGAGTTTGGGCTCTCTCATGCAGGCACCAGATGCCCTATTGCTGACACAAAAGTCGCGCAAGAACTCCGAACATTGCACAAGGAGTGTTATTTCCACAGCGAACAGGAAGCGTGGCAAGGTACTGTCTGACAAGGTCGTTGGCACAGGGCTAAGCCTTCAGCTTTCGCACACCCGTGCGGGACAACGAGTTTACATGCCAGCGTCTGGGTTCTGCGCTAGCCCTCTAAGTCTAGGCTGCGCTGCTAGGCATTGGGTAGGCTCTCGACATCAACCGGAAAATAGATGCGGAGCTCTTTCGCCTTCTCGCTTGACGTCTTTGTGTCAGGCGACGCCTATCTGCACCTGGACATGCGTTGCTGGCGTGCCCGAAGCTCATGTGGGCATTCAACGATGTTGAAGACAAAATTGAGATTGGGCACTCCGTGGCTCAAGTCAATGTGCCTGGGATAATGAGAGAAGTCCAGGTGATGATAGGATCCGTAATCGTTCCGTTGTCCCGGAGAACGTGGGCACCAATCCTCGTTCCCTGCGTGCGGGCATAGGTCCCCCACGATGAACGTGATTTCCTTGGATGCGAAGGGACTCCAGGTTAGGTTCGAGATTTCGTGGATGCTCTCGTGGATGCTCTCATTGGTCTCTTCTTGCACCAATCCAGGGTGTCCCCTGGTCCCATAGGAGGTGCGGAGGAAGCGACCTTTGCCGCAAGTGAAGCAGCCCATCCCGAGAGTTCCTCCGCCCCCCCCGCTTTGGCCACACCAGCAGTTCCCTGTACCACCACAGTTACGCCACATAGCTTGTGCAGATGCCACGTTGTAATAATGTGTTCCTTGCACGAGCTGAGCAGTGTTGATGCCACCACAGGCTGAGCGGGGTGCATCGCCGTACATGGTAGTGGTTGCCCAGTGGTGGTAGCCGTACTTGTCGAAGTCCACAGACTGGTCCTCTCCGGTTGAGTCCTCCGTGCGTTCCACTTTCTGCAACTGCAAGGCATTGAGAGCACAGTTCTCCTGCTCACACTCGGAATCGCTGACCAGAAGGTCGCTGGCACTGGGGTCAGCCCAGGCCACTGCCGCGAGCACAAACAGATTTCTCAGAAAATGCATCGCCATAGCCAGGTCAGGTACGCTAAAAAGTGGGGGGCAGTTGTATCTGAGCCGAGACCCTCTCTTATTTACCTATGCCAGGGAGGACATCGTGGTCAGATGCTGTTTGCGAGACTCGACCCTTCTACAGCAGATTTCTGTCAGATTCTATCAGAGTCCAGACTAAGCGCCTCTTGGTGTAGTTGCTCCAAGTCTTCTTGGCACCAGCCCATCCACAGGGCAGCCTGAGCCAACAATCCGATTTCCATGCGATTCCCAGCCGCATTCTCGAAGTAAAGATGCTTCGTTAACACCCCGCCAAAAAGCAACCGTGCCTCGGATGGTTCCGGAGCCTGCGCAGCCTCTGCAGGGGGTGCTGGGCCGCCTCTGCAGGTCAACAGTCTACAAGGTTCAACTTGCACAATTCAAGATGCCAAGGTAGGTGCGTTTGTCCCACGCAGTCGCCCATAAGTTGCGTAAAGCACTAGTTCTCAGTTCTCCTTGGTAGAAGCATCCCCTCCCCAGACACCCCCAAGTTTGCGGCATTGCACACCCACCTCCGCACTTGTAGAGGTTTGAATGGAGAATCGAGGTTTTAAGTGATGGGTAACGGTTTAAGAGCACTCAACCCGCCATCAACAAAAGCCCCGGGACTCTCCACCTCAAGCTCTAAACTTTTGAGTCCGGGGTGGGAGGCCACAAGAGTCTGGTCCGGTGCAAGGGGCCCCTCAAGAAAAAGAAAAAAGGGGTTTGGGGCCTTATCAGGGTCCCTCTCGAATCCTTCAAGGAAGTCCAAAGCCTTTAAACAGTCTTTAAACTCTGATTTTTAGTAATGACAAAGCTTGACAAGACTTGTGCGGCGGACGTGCTGCGCTTACAATGTCGCTGAAATGACTGTATTCCATGCAGTCAGGAACAATCGAAACTATCTGAGCTTACCCGCCTTTCTGTCGCTTCCGTCGCGGCGGCATTGCAGGGTTAGAAAACCGCTTAGTCTAGGAGCTGGTCTCGCCGCTGGTCTGTTTCTATGGGGGCTGCTTGTGATTGCAGCACGTTGAGGCGGGCCCCTGCTATGTTGCAGACAGATCTTCCAAGTAGGCCTCGTGACATGCTACCAACTCGGGGTTCTAGAGGAGAGGAGTGGTACCTCAAACCACAGGGAGTCATGAGCACAAGCACACTCCTGAGGAGAAGATGTGTGACAAGCAGTGAAAAGCGGCAAGCATGCTTCGCATGCATATGAGCAGCATGTACAGCCCGCGAGTTGTTGACTGCCGTTGAAGTGCATGGCACGCTGTGAGGGGTGATGCGGCGCATGCTGCGTATCCGGGATCCATGCTGAAATGTGCTGTCCAAGAAGTTGCCAACCTTCCAGCAAGCACTACACGCAGTCAGGAAATGCGAGGAAGACGTGCCAAGTTGGACTAAAAAAGGGGACCGCACGGCTCTCTTCTGTTCGAATTCAGTCCAGCAGATTTTCTGAGCTGCGCTTTGCACTCTGCAGATCGCGTCCGATCGCATGGGATCGATTTACACATGAAACAAAACGCTGTTTCTACTTTACTTGCACCCACTGTGAATCCCTCGGCCAACCCCACGCAAGTTACAAGCTCAAGTCAGCTCCATGCTCAAAGCCGAATTGCCTCCAGAGCTATAGAGCAGACTCCTGCTTGTGACTTCCCACATCATGATGAGTCAGGCCTTGTCCCCAAACTTCTTGCAAAGGACGAAGCGTAGAAAGCCACATGGGGCCTCCAAGCGCGCAACGGGAACAAGCAAGCCACAACCTGAGTCTCGGACATTTGAATTGGCAACAAGAAGCAGCTGCAGCATGGGTAAGCAGGCAGTCGAAGTTACATACTCAAGGGAGGTGGCCTCGCGTGGCAGCAACAAAGACATGCTCGACTCGACATCTGACTCCTGCATGGGAAAACATCGGCCGATTTGGTCTTCGGGCAGCTCTAGCATTTTTTGCGCGATGGCTTCGCCAGCAGCAGTCCATGACCAGCGATATGTCGCTGTGAGGAAGAAAGATGTAGGCAGGACAAGGTGGGTTCAGGGTAGAGAGCTTGTGCAAATCCTCTCTCTCTTTCTTCTTATTTTTGTTGCTTCTTCTTCTGCTTTATTCATTTTCCTTTTTGTTCTTCTTCTTCTTCTTCTTCTTCTTCTTCTTCTTCTTCTTCTTCTTCTTCTTCTTCTTCATCTGCTTCTTCTTCCCCTGCGCTCCTGCACGCCAAGGATTCGGGTCTTTCTTTTGGGGGCTCAAGGGACCCCAGCTGTCGTGGTGGTCATGATTATGGACTGGAAATGCAGCCAAGGTTTGGAATGATATGCCTTTAGTGCTTCAATCCAGTGACCTCCAGCGCCGTCTAATTACCATCGCCATTCCCTTCTGCCTCATTTTTCCCTGAGCCCGAAACCCCACATGGGATCTCTGGATTAAAACGTCTACTAGGAACGCCATGCTAAACCCGCAAACCCTAAACTCTCTCCCCCAAACCGTATGTGCGCTTACAAAACGAGGGACCCCCTACGCATAGCATAGACGCCCAGCTAGTAGGATTCCCTTCTAATAAGTGAGGACCCTAAACCCTAGACTCTAAACCCTAAACCCTAAACCCCGAATTTCGGAAATCCCCCCATATTGGCAATTGAGCCCCGATGTCCTCACCCCCAAGGATGCGAAGCTCCAGCTGTGCCAAGCTCCGGAAAAGCTCCGGAGGGGGATCCTCAGGCAGCTCCAAGCGTTTTGGTGGGGGCTTTTCAGGGAATTTAGGATGAACTAGGGTAGGTTTTTTTACCACCCGCCTAGCTGACTGCAAGATGCACTGCAGGGACTACACGCGCGGCTCAGAAATTGACGTTGACGTTGCAGCAAAACTGTAGCTTTGCCGACTATCCCAACTGATTCTAAAGCCGCTTCAATTCATGTCAACTCAGGAGAGGCTTCATTTCCAGGCTTGGGGTTTCGACTCTCACACTAGCGCACGCGCAGGCAAGGGGTTTGGAGTTTAAGGGTTGTTGCCACCCGCCTAGCTGACTAAACGTCGCACTGCAGACAAAATCACACGATACTGCTTGTTGAGAAAAGATGTGTGTGAAGTGCAGTAACCTGACCTGGTTTGCAATCACATACCGTACCAATCGCGATGTCACGCGCCCTATTTGTAGAAGCAGACTCTGCGAGTGTAATGTTGCACCCTGTCCCTGATTACACGGTCCCGGGGGGTTTATGTGATCTTAATATGTCTTAATAGGGAGGAGGGGCAGCGATGCCCGGCAATTGATTTTAAAGGCGCGACGCGTGGAATTTTCTTAGGTCGGTTTGCCTTAATTCAGGATCCCAAACCCCAAACAGTCAGGGTGTTCTGTATAGCCTAGCCAATCTGACTGTATTCAGGAGGCCCCTACTAAAGAGGGGGGGACATTATTGCCCTGGGTCAGAATGACTCCGTTCGGAAGTCTAGCCTTCTTCGACGTCCCATGCGCGGTCAAGTTTGCGTCTTTTCTGCGCGTCTGGCTGGCACGTCACAGTTTGGTTCTTGCTCAATTGCTTTCAACTGTATTCTCAGCAGCACTATGCAAATCTAACTGTCGCGCAGTCGACTTGCTTCTGCAGCAACTTTGAAGACATGGCGTTTGCTACACCGTCCTAGCTGTCTATTGCAACTGTACTCTTCATCCCTGCACCTACCTGTATCCTTAAAGCCTTGAAGCCACATGCAATCCACATCTCTCAGCCTGCCAAGCAGGAAAGCTCAAGAGCCCGGGCAACAAAGCACAAACGGGATCTCCATCTCCTCACGCGTCATGGAGCCATGGGCTCCCTGGCAACACGCTTGAAAGCAAGTAGCCTCTGAGGGTGTCACTATCGTATGAGCTCCGCAGGAGATTGCTAGGAAGTCGCCCAGCCTGGGGCGGACTTCCGGGAGGGGTGCGTCCGGCCCAAACAAACCTAGCCCCGCAGCGTCGTCCACCGGCAGCAGGATGAAGTTCTCACGAAGCACTTCGTGTGCATCCCAAAGCTTCTGGAACTCACTCAAGCGGCCACTCCGGCAGTGGAAGTAGGCATGTCGGCCCTTTCCGTGCACGCCAACGTTCGCGTACTCGAGGCAACTCACAAGTTCATCTGGCAGAAGGACCATTTCCTCTGGCTGCACAGTAACATGCCCGTGGTCCGCGGTGACGATCAACGTCGCATCCAGATTGCTCAAATGCTCCCAAAGCCGCGCAACACCTTTGTCGATGCCCAGGATAACATTGCCAACCTCCCGATGCTCCACCCCAAGTTCGTGCATGTGCTTGTCAGGGTGGGCCGTGTAGAGGTAGATGTAAGAGCACCATCCCTCAACCTCCGCCTCGGAGACGCTGCTGATGACAGCGTCAACGCCGTTGTTGAAGAACTCGATCGCCTTCTCGGATCCCTCTGGCAATCCCAGTGTCTCCATCGCCGTTTCAGGAATGTTCATCACACTTGACGAATGCTGGTCCTGGTACCAGTTGGTGAACTCTGTTCCATTGTATGCGTTCACAAACTTCATGTGCCGCGAAGAGTTTCCTTGTGACACCCACGGCTTTCGGACGTAAATGTCCTTGGAATCAAAGCCCAGTTCGGAAACCGGCTTGTCTGTTCGCTTGTCTCGCACGACCTTATCCAGAATAGTCAGCTGAATGGGTCCAACCCCGGCCACCCCCGGGAACTCGCACCCCTTCTGATCTCGCAGCTCCCATCCTGGAAGCCCATGCTGCCCAGGCCAAGCGGCCGTTGCAAGCGTCGTGAGTGCGGCTGGAGTGGTGGCAGGAAACACTGCCCTGAGGTGCCGAGAATTGTGCTTACGCAGGAAGCTATCAGGGACTAGATGTTGAACCAGGGAGCTCACGCCCATCCCATCGCACAGCACCACCACAATGTGCTTTCGGGCCGTGCCCCCGATCACTTTTGCCAGCTCCTCGGCCTTGCTGGCCCGCACCGGCTGCTCTGGCATGAGGCCGCAGCACCTAGGGCTTTAGAGAGTATATATTCTTGTTAAAAGAAGTCGGCCAATGATTTTTTTTAGGATTGCTAGACTTTCCAGAAACAGCGTGTCAAGACTAAGACTTCAAACAAGAGGGGCTAGGTCGAGGTTGTCGCGCGGACCAGGGTTTGATTCTCGAGGCCTGCTCGCATTTTGAAAGATTATCGCGCTCTCGCCTAGGTGCCGGCCGTGGCCGTGATTTTTTGGCTTCTTGGCCGAAATGCGAAAACGGTCGTCATAGTATTGACACAACCATTCAAAACGACGACTTGCAATCGTACCTTTCAAGCCCCAGACTCCCAGCCTGGCAAGAGCATGGGCGAGGTCCGCAAAGCTCGGCTGCTCATCATCCAGTGGATGAACGAAGCGCCCTTCGGCAAGGAGTCGCTGCAGTTTCTGCTTGTGGCCGGTTGTGCCCATGGGGCCCTGAGTATCAAGGCGTGCCTGCTTTAGAGGTGGACCGGCATCCGCCATCTTCTGAGAGTGGCACTGAGGCTCCAGGCTTCAGGGTGATGTGTGCTGCTGCACTCAGTAACGGAATGTGATGGCTGCCACACGCAGCACCCGACTTGCAAGCTGGCCCAACCTGCTCTTCGGAGTCCCTGGATCCATCATGGCTCTGCATCCGGAATGAATCAAGCAGGGACAGCTGGTGCAAGACTCTGCGAGAGACAGCTGAGTTGCCAGCGTACCTGTGGAGCAGCACCCCTAGGTACCTGGGTTTGGTAGATTCGGCTTGACCAGGTGCTCTGCAAAATAATCGTGTCCGCTTGCCGGGGTCATGTTTTTTCTGCTGTGTACACAAACAGAATGAAACAAACACATAAACCAACACGAAGAAACGAAATCATAAAGGAATAGTAACAACACACATGTGGTAAAAGAAATATGTACATGTGTGTAGTGTAGTGTATATACACATATGCATATGTATGGCCATACCGACGGATCTGCCTTCTGCCTCTTTACCCGTCCTACCGTCGTTTTCACAATGGAACCCCTTCAACACATCTGCAGCTTATGAGTCAGCTGCACTATATGGTTTTCTTGGCACATGGTTTCAGGACCAACCGATGGCTGACAAAGTCCCGGGGGGCCTCGAGGATCAACGGTCCAAGATTCCCAGAGCTCTTGGTTGTAGGGTCCAACATCCAAGAGCCCTCTGAAAGTCTTGGAGCTTTGAACTCGAAACTTTCGAATCATGCCAAACCTCGGGGGCTTGGGTCTTTGGAGTTTGGACACAAATTCATATAATGACACAACAGGTGATAGCGCAGAAACAAGATTCATATATTGATATATATATATATACATATGACATTGTCATGACGTGAAGAACTCCCAGGGTCGAAGGGAAAAGTGCAGACCCAGACATATCACACCTCGCCCGTAACGATTCTGTTGGGTTCGGTTAGGAACGTACGATGTGCAAAGAAGCCCAAACAATCTTTATACTCGCCTGTGAGGTCAAGATTGAATCTAAACACCACATTCAGCGAGACTCTTGATTTTATGGGGTTGTTTTATTTGGGGATGCACCTTTGCGCAATGAACCAGGCGCGTTTAGCGGTTTCACCCGATGCCAACGTAAATACAAGTTCAAACGCCATCAACATCAAAACTTCACAGGTGTTGACAAAGGAGGGAGCCGCAAATTGATTACCAGTAACATGCAACTGCATCTCAGCATGGCTTGGATATAAAGGGATTGCTGAGGCTGTTTATAGTTTATAGTTTTTCCCGAGGTGTTGGACGGCGAGATAACGACAGCTACTGAAACAACCGCCCGCAGATCTGCAAAAGAGGATTCCAAACAAACTTAGCAGGACATCCGTAGCAAAATCGTAAAAGATGTACAAATTCAAAGCTTGTTTGTGCTTGTTCTACTTATCGTTCTAATTAGTTCAGCTCCTTTTGGCTTGAGCTGTAGCATGCGAAACAGTTGGGATTGGATTCTTCGGAATGATTGGGAAACTTGGGCGATTTCAAGGACCAGCTCTGCCGATCTGGAACATGGATCGGATAAAATTGGAGCTTCGGAAGTCAGAAGACACCACTCACACCACAAAGTCAACCTCCAAACAAATGTTGTTTTCTTTTTGCGTTGCGTTTGTACATGTTTTGGAGGTGGCTGACCAGAACAGTGTGATACGCGGAGTACATGCTACAGATCGTCACCAAAAGTACAAAGTGTGTACCAACCCCGGCCCAGCGCACGCGTTGTTGCGCACGATCTCGGAATCGGCATCTTTGCTCAGAGCCGCTGCCTCCAACAGATCCTGGACAGCAGCTGGGTCCCTCTGGCATCCTCTAAGGCTGCGAAAAGAGTTCAATACCTTACGCTCAACTTGTGTTGGATAATCAAAGCAACCAAAATCAAATGTGTTTCCTTAGCCGTACGAACAAAACAGAAGAAGCACAAATTACACCCGGGGCGTCCTGCTCCATTGCCCGCGCCCCGGCCATGCCACGAGCGTAGCCAAAACCTCGGGGGAGACAACAACAGGAAAGCTACTTTGCAACCTCATGATTGTGCTCGATATAACTTAAACCACCTCTGCATTTTTTTGGGTTTGGAAGGATATGTAATTACACTTTAGCATCTGAACCGCCAAGCCAAGAAAGCATCCATTGGGCTTCAGGGGCATTTTGAGCGTTGTGGTCCATGTGCGAGGAAGTTGTACTCCAATTCCTTCATACCAGTAACTACGTATCGGCAAGAGCCAATGAATCCACCGCTTCCGCACCTGAGGACCAGTCGCTCGAGTATCGGCTCCTCTGTAGCCATGATCAATGCATGAACCGACCTCCGCGTGCGGTCGACGCACCAGTCTCTGTGATGCTCTTCTGACTAGAGTAAGGTTCAAAGACCAATCACTCATGCTCTGATTCCTGGAGTTGCTAGTTTTTGCATCATTCTACCTACTCTGCTTCAATTCTCGCTATGGCTTTTCGTGCACAGTAATTCTGCTGATTATGCAAGTGCCTGTGATTATGGGTCTGGATATGATTGGTATGAAGACTATTCTGCGTCTTGTTTTGGCTCTGGCTCTGATGATGCTTACGGTTAGGTCATAGCTATTGTTTTGGCGGTGGCTACTCTTCCTGATATTTTGTTGCCCTTGCTACCACAGTAGCAGCAGAGGAGTGGGTGTGGGAGTGATGGTAGTAGTAGTCGTCGTTGTCGTGGTGGTGGTAGTAGTAGCAGCGGCAGCAGTAGTAGCAGCAGCAGTACAAAGAAGCTGCAGCATTTATAGCTGTAGCGATGGTGATAGCGGCAGTTATAGCATGTTATCGTAGTAGAAGTAAAAGCGATCGGAATATTGGTGATATTACGCTTAGATGCGAGCCGGCTCCCACCGATCAGAGTCGCGGAGCTCTTTCCTGCGGCAGAGCGGGTTGGTGCTTGGCGAGGTGTGCTCTGATCTTGAATGTTGACCAGAAACCGAATCCTGATACACATTTCCGAACAACAACCATGCGGCAGTCACCGTGATTCATCGTCATTCCGAAGTGAGTGAAGCCTCTACATCGAGAAGTCTGTCTGTCTACAGAGCTCATATTGGGGTTTCGAATGAAGCTTGCACCTCCGAAGCTATCAGGCCGGGTCCTTCTTTGAAGGCCTCAGTGGCTTCACAGAAGCTTTTTTCGCGGCCTGAAATTCTTTTCTATGGTAGCTATAGCTTGATTTCACTGGCCTTCGTCCATGACTGGCAGCTGCTAGTCGCTGAAGCAACTTGGTCTGAGCTGGTGTCTGCAGCTCGCGCGACCGCACGCTCGCGCAGCTCACGCTGAAAGTCTGCACCTGTTGCAGGCTTGAGCAAACATGGACATGAGCATTGGTTGCCCTCAAAGCAGTCGCCTTCGAAAGCACGCACGAGGGCGCGTTGACATTCTAGCAGCTGCTGCGTCTTCTTGTCGCCCTGTACAAGGGCGATACAAGTTAGGCGCGTGCAGGCGCCAGTTAAGCCTAAGCTAAGCTGAATTGCCAACATTCCTTCAGAAGTCAAGAAGTCCAAGCCTGCGCCACCGGTGCCTCAATATGAAGGAGCTCAGAACGCCTCCCGCAATCAACAGCAGGGAGGACGTCCCTCTGAGGGTATTTCAGATACGAGCGAACCTGCACGAACACAAATGAGCATGATGCGTGCATGACAGCGGGGTGTGATGTGCAGCCATGACATCACTCATCACACTTTGTGCAGGCCTTCTTGGGACGCTTTAACAAAGCCTGAGAGCAATGGTCCATGTTGTGCAAAGCGCAGCCTGTGCCCTTCGTAGTCCTCATCAAAGTACCTTAGACACACTTTCTTTTTCTAGGGGCTCGTCTGGCTCGTCCATGCCGTGCCAGCGCGCTGGGCTTCCGCACGAGTCGCCATAGCTCACAAATACCTTGCGCACGTTGGCGTACCACTCTATCTAACAACAACAAAAACTTTATGTGTATATGTATATATATATATACACATCTATGCATATGTACGCATTGTGCGTGTGTGTGTGTGTGTGTGTGTGTGTGTGTGTGTGTGTGTGTGTGTGTGTGTGTGTGTGTGTGTGTGTGTGTGTGTGTGTGTGTGTGTGTGTGTGTGTGTGTGTGTGTGTGTGTGTGTGTGTGTGTGTGTGTGTGTGTGTGTGTGTGTGTGTGTGTGTGTGTGTGTGTGTGTGTGTGTGTGTGTGTGTGTGTGTGTGTGTGTGTGTGTGCGTGTCAAACCCTGTGTCCAAGGGCAACGCAATTTCACAGTGGGCCTTGTCGGCCATGTTGCACCATATGCAACCATTGGGCAGGCATGTTGCTCAGGCATTCGGCTTGGGCATCGGAACCTAGTTTCCGAGCAGATGGCTGAAGTACGGGAACCTTCGGCAAATCGTGCGGCCGGCAAGCAAAATTCGAACAGTGCAGGAATGCACAAGTGCGATTTGAGTTCATGGTTCTTTCTTTGCAGGGGCACTGGGCACTCCTTGGCAAACCCAGTGCAACGAAGCTATGCCTTGGAGTGGGAAGCAGTTCAGGACGCTGAACTGTGTACCTGCAGGCCATCCCCAAAAAACACCCTCAAAGCCGTTGCTGAATCCTTGGCCAGTTCAACATGAAAGCAGATCTCCGTTGCAGATTCACAAGCTTTGGAGCTCACAGTTCGACAGAAGTCGAGTCTCAAGTGTGTGTCAGTTCGGCAATCCCTTTGGGCGCCAACTACGTGGGAGGATGCTCTCACAAGTCTGATTTCACGATTGACTTAACCGAAGCTTTTGACTTCCTTGACTCTCAAGCGACGGGAGGAGTCTTTCAACTGATACATGAATCATCTTGCTTGATCTCAGGACATGAAAGAAGTTTTCTACGAATGATTTTACAAGTGACTCAGCTTCTGATTTGTTCTGTATGCTTGCATACAGTTCACGTGACTTTACATAATCAGCTCCAAGATTACGTGACTTAATCATGGACCCCCCAGGAGTTCGCCCAAAGAGCGCAATGCCGCTCCAGCCAAGTTGGCTTGCGACACCCTTGCCTTTGCAAACTACTTCCTCTCGTATGTCTGAGCAAAGATCAACCACAAGTAGAAACCCTCAACCTGCTGCGTCAATCAGCTTTTCAGTGGGTTCGATGTCTACGAGAGTGGAGTTCGCTGATATGCAGTCTTTCCAAGACCATGGTTACCAGGTTCTTGGTCAAGCGCATATGATGTCGTTGATCGCACAAGGGTATTCTCAGAATACCAATGTTAGCTCTGGACTGAGCTCGGCTCGGCCCTTACCTGCTTGGGCCATAGAACCTACTTCCCGAGCCATCGGGGATCAGCGCACCGCTGGTCAATTGGATGTCGTTCAGTCGACAGCAATGATACCTCGACAGCTCCAGCCTCAGACACAATGGCCGTTTCAAATGGACTCCAGCTTACCAGCAGAAGGTTGGTGGCAAGTCAATGGCGTTTTCGTTCATCTGCCACAACAGCTTCAGACTGAGCTGGATGATTCGCTGAACAAGTCCGTAATGATGCATAGTCATGAAGTTCCGTGGAAGCAGAACCCAACCTTTTATGTCTTGAGCGAGTTTGCTGATCTTCGTCTCTATGACAGCAAAGGCCCCCTTACGATTTCGGACGATGATCATTTTGACTGGTCCAGGTTGGTTCCGATTTTCCTTCGACTCAAGAAGCTCTTGGTCTTGGCCTATGGTCGTTGCAGATCCGTTTCTGAACTGAATCTTCGAACATATGAGCTAGGAACTTCTGACAAACAGGTTCTCGATTTTGCATTGCAGTACATGAATTCTTTGCTGCACAATCCAGAAAACCTTTCGGTTCCGGCCAAACATTGGCAGACCTTGGCAGAGATAATGTTGATGGCTGACCAGATCCATGTGTTGGAAGGCATGTCGTTGACGAAGCTCCGATCAGGAGCTGTTGCTTTGGTTGCCAAGTTGAATCTTGATCATGCAGTCAGCAAGCCTTCCAGTTTCGGAAAGAGGAACACCATTTATCACATTGCTCATAACACCTCCATCGACTCTGCAGCGCACATCATCCGGTCAGGAATCTTCAGACCAAGCAAGTTCCAGACGCAAGACATTACTTGGGTGCCAGGCTTTACATTTTACTGCCGTGGCCATAACTCCGAGATCACAATTGCGTGGAATCAGGCATCTCAGTACGTTTCTCCGTCGCGGCCTGTGTGTGTACTTGGTGTGGCCAGTCTTAGACAGATTGGTCATGTGAGGCCAAAGTCGGGAGGAACGCACACTGATCTGGTTGCAGGAGTGTTCTATGATGCACTGAGATCCAAAGATGGTCGCTGGGCTTTCAAGAGTTCAGTTTCCAAGCCAATTGGCTTAGCGATTTGGCATTGGCCTCAGTAGGGGAGCTCACCGAGTGTCTTCCGAAAAAACAGTCTGTCTAAGTTTGCCGCGATGTCTAGTTCTCGAATATGATGGCTCCCAAAGAACAAGTCCCTGAACTGCGCGAGCTCTTGTGATTGAGTTTGATTTTGTCTTCGCCTTGAGATGCTGTTTCATGTTGTCATGGGTCAAGTCTTTCCAGCGTTTGTCTTTTCGCCTTAGCTCCGGCTTAGCTCAACATGTCCTGGAATCAGTCGTGGAGTTGGGACCAACCTTCGTCATACCAGAACAGCTACGACAGGTCTTATGGCTCTTACAATGATCGTTCTTGGAATGCTGGCAGTTATGGCCCATCCCACCAGAAGGGTGGAAAGTCGTACCGAAGCAATCCTTACACCTTCCCCAACCCACATCCAGGACCTTCCCAGACGCAGTCTTCGATGCCCACTATGAGTGCCATCCAATTTCCGTCTTCGTTCGTTCAGAATGAGAAGTGCATTGATTCGAACGAGCTTCATGGGTTTACCTTCAACAAGCAGGTTGAAGCCTCCCATTGGTCCAGAAAGAGAGGGTTCGCAGGAAGAGACGTCACAGACATCAAGGCCCATGAGCTCATGTACCATGGCATTTCCGAATGGACGTTACGGTTGCTGTCTCATGGCAGGTTCATTTCCACTGTTCCAACTCGATCTGTTGCCGAGAGTGTGTTCACTTCTCAGTTACTCTCAGCAGTTAGGAAGTCGCAGCTGGACTTGGATGCAGTGGCCTCTACCTTGTGGCAAAATCAGCATCCCGGAAAGGAACTTCCTTCGAAGACCACGGATGTTTCTTCCTTGTATGCTCCTCTTATCAACGATCTCATCGGAGTGCTCAAGAAGCATGCCCCAGCTCAAGTCGCTTCGTCTTCATCGCAGCAGTTGGTGGAGTTACAAACTGCTCTCATGAAACGAGAGCAGCAGCTCATGGAGCAGGGTGTGGTGCTTACTCCCAAGAAAAACGAAGGTCAAAGCACAGCGTCGGCCTCAGATGACCAGTCGCGACCCAAGAACACAGAGAGTGGTTTGCCAGTCAAGAACGCAGCAGAAGACGATTGTGGACCAAGCCATTCAGTTCTGTCGAAACTTGACAAGATTCCGTCGGACATCTTCAAAAGCAAGATCAAGAGTTTGGAAGGCCCTTCGACTGAGGCAGTTCAGACCTGGATCAAGACCTTCAAGAAATCGCTGGGAGCATCCAAGTTCAGTCAGTTGGAAGGGCTCATCACTAAGGTTGATTCCTTGGTTGGCGACAAGGAAATCACAAAGGAAAGGATGCAAGACTTGGCACTCAAGTTCGGAATGAATCCGTCTACGGTCACCAAGTTGGGATTCAAGTCCCTTTCGAGCGTCATAGCCTTAGCTATGATTTGGTCGGCCTGATGTGTGGACAGACTTCAGTCGAAGCTACCTGCTACTGAAGTTCGCTGGCTTAGGAAACTCATTCACTGCCTTGGACAGCTAGCAACATTTGTTCTCCAAGAGATTCCTGGTGTGGATAAGACTCGTATGTTGTGGGTTCAAGGCATTCTTCATCTTTTGCTTATCTTTCACTTTCCCAGAGACACTACCAACGATGCAGCATTGAGAAAAAAACTCAGTCGTTTATCAGTTTCACCACAAACGTATTCGTTTGACCGGTTCAAACAAAGTAGCGTCGTCTACCTGAAGCTTCCTGTGCGCTGGGCAAGTTCTTTTACTGCGGCTCAGTCAACTAGTTGGCTTTATGTTGGAAGCACTTCTGTTGGCATGGTGGCGAGAGAGAACAATCGTCGAGCCAAGATTAAGCAGTGCAAACAAGGACAATACGTTCAAGTAGAGCCAGCAATTCGATTGTGGGCAAGCAGGTTTGATTACAGCGCGTATTCCACCGTTGTCTTGTCCACTCATGACAATTACAAGCAGGCTTGGATCGCTGAGCATGTCCTGATTGACCTTTGGCAACCCAGACTCAATCACCCTTTCGTGCACAAGTTTTTCAAGAAGACGGCCAGTGGTCCCAAAACGGTTCCTCTCCGAAACAAGTCCAGTACTTCTCACAACTATTTCAGATTGTTCTGTAAACTCAGGCGCAGGTTTGCAACAGTTGGCTACAAGGTTCCTCCCACTCTCTCCAAGCCCAAAGCGTTTGACATCCTGTATGACTTAGCGCAGATGGACCGACGTAGCTTTGAAGCAGCTAAGCTTATTCGTTCTCAGAGGATCACAGAGCTGGAGTTGTATGCATTGTGGAGGATTGGCTGTAACCTAGAACAGCCTGAGAAGTCCAGAGTCAAAAAGTTGATGTGCTCAGCCTTTAGGTTTCGCGGATGTTCCATTCCAGATGTACACCCACGTCTTCGATGTCCATACCTTGCCCACCCCAGTTTTCAGTGGGAGGTTTCTGCGTGGCTACGTCAGCAAATCAAGCGATACAAACAATGGATGTTACCCTTTCACTTGCCTAGCCATTGGATTGATGAAGGTGCGCACCAATCTGTTCAAACAATCTTTTACAACTTCGCGCAATGGGAGACCAGGATGCAAGACCTTGAGCCTTCATCGTTACCTTGTAGTTGTCAAGAAGTTCTTCTTCATCATCCTTATTTGCACACAGTTGATGGACACATTGCTTCTTCTGCTGCTGACCTATCTCTACCTAGAGAGGTGCTTGACATGTTATCTTTCAGTTCTAGCTCCCCAGTTTTCCCGACCCTTGAAAGCTTCCTTCGACTGCACAAGAGGCGAATTGATCGTTGGTTTGACCGTCAAGGTTTTCCACCTTGCGTCAAAGATGAATTTTGGAACACAGTATTTCCCAATCAATGGGCTAGCCATGTTCAGCATCTCTGCCGGTGTGACTTTCTTTTGCAAGAGCACAAACTTGTCGATGTCAAGAAGCAGTTGCA